TGTGTGTGTGTGTGTGTGTGTCTTGTGCTGGAGCTTGAACTCAGGGCCTTGTGCATGCAAGACAAGCACTCTACCAATTGAGCTATATCCCCAGCCTCACTAGGTTTGTTTTTATTGTCTGTTTGTTTTCTATATTCCAAAGTATTCAAAAGGTTGTTACCATTGCTGTTCTCTTATTTACCCTGTTCTTGTGTGTTTTTAACTTAATTCATTTATTATGGGGTAGTTTTTCTTTTTAGAATTTTGGGAGGGAGCACAATTAGGTTACGTGTGTTTCACCTAACTTTTGTTTTTTTTGTACTGGGGATTTGACCCGGGGGTCCTTTACCAGTTAGCTACTTCCCCACCCCCTTTTATTTTTTATTTTGAGACAGGATCTTGGTAAGTTGCTTAGGGCTTTGCTAGGTTGCTAAAGCTGGCTTTGAACTTGTTGTCTTGCCTCAGCCTTCCAAGTCACTGGGATTATAGGCATGCACCACCATGCCTGGCTGTTTCAACTAACATTTTATTCATCTTTCAACTACTGTGACATATTTCAAGAGTCTGCAGACCCCCAAGACTTGCTTTAAAAAGCAGACTATAGCATTGAGAATGATGTGCCATGGTACCTTCTCAAATTATTTTCTCTGCTGCTCACCTTTGTTGCTCTGAGACAATAAGGCAGAACTGTTTCCTCTCCTCTGATACTTCTAATGCCTAGTAAGATGTAATATTTTGTGGTAAATATACTTCTTTTGCCTAGAATGTTGATCTCCACTCCAGACTTCATTTGTACTTTCTTCAATAGCCTGTTCATTCCTTTGTTTGCCTTTTACCCAGGTCCAAATTTACCTTCCACTGTAACCATTTCCCTATTTCCTCGGGCTCTTTTAGCAGCTCATTTCTACTTCATTTCATTTTAAGTTTGTATCTATTTTATACCTTCAAATTTTGTGTTCATATAGGACAAAAGATCGACTTAGTTACTTGTATCTATCTCTCTTGTCCCCAGTACTGGGCATATTGTAGACATTTAATGCTGCTGAATGAAGAAACCCTTTTAATTTTTTACAATTCTTAATGGCAGTCATAAATTATCAGTAACAAGGCTGCACGTAATGAAACATCAGAGTTTTTATTTTTATTTAAAGTCCAAACTATTTCAATAATGCTTGGTAATACTGTTGTTTTTTTTTTTGTATTTATTAAAAATATTTTCTTATATTTTTGCATGTATGTATGTCTTTGATTAAGAAAGAATATAGAGATCAGGCATGGTGGTATATGCCTTTAATCCCAGTAACTTGGGAGGCTGAGTCAGGAGGATCGCAATTCGAGCCTACCTCCACAATTTAGCAATGCTCTATGCAACTTAGCAAAATCCCATTTTGAAATAAAAAGTAAAGAACCTATATGGCTTTTATATGGCTCAGTGTTTGAGTGCCTCTGGGTTCAATCCCCAGTACCAGGGGAAAAAATGAACAAAAGAATGAATGAATGAATATATAAGCAAATTGACTGTTGATTAATAGAGTTTGGAGTTTTGGGTATAAATTAATGATGTTAGTTGGGCTGGGGTTTTATGTAGTTCAGTGGTAGAGCACTTGCCTTGCTTGTGTGAGGCACTGGGTTTGATCTTCAGCACCACATAAAAATAAATAAATAAAATAAAGATATTTTAAAAAATAATGGTGTTAAAAATAGCCAAAATCTTAAATGTTAAGGAAGTGCCTTGCTTACTATGTTTTGTTTGTAGGTCAAATCTGGATTCTTTCATGAAAGTGATTCTAAAGCTGTGGCTAAATCCATTAGAGATCGGGTGACCCTGATAAAAAAGACAAGGGAGAAGAAGCCTGCTGGCTGTTTGGAAGAACGCAGGGATTCACAGTGTAAGTCTATGGGGAATGTACTTCCTCAGCAGCAAACTACAACTTTGCCTCCTACTTCTGCTCAGCATACTGGGGCTGAATGTGAAGAAACTGAAGTTGATCAACATGCTCGACAGCAGCTTCTACACAGAAAACCACAACAGCACTGCTCCTCCATTAGAGGTAAAGCAATTAAAATTTATAAAGCACATACAAATGTCCAATCATATTTCCTTATTTTTTTAAATTTTAAATTTTAAATTTTTTTTTTGAGAGAGAGAGAGAGGGAGAGAGAGAGAGAATTTTTAACATTTGTTTTTTAGTTTTCGGTGGACACAACATCTTTATTTTATTTTTATGTGGTGCTGAGGATCAAACCCAGCGCCCCGTGCATGCCAGGCGAGCGCACTACTGCTTGAGCCACATCCCCAGCCCCAATATTTCCTTTTTTTAAATAGTACTTTTGTGTTTTTTAGGTGATTCTATTATCTGTTATTTATTTCATCAAACCTTTTACAAAACCCCTAAAACAGGCCAGCTAGTTTCCTTATTTTAAAATTTAAGAAACTATTATTAACTGACTTGTCCAAAGTGCTTGCTGCAGTAGAGTTAAAATCTAGCAACTAGTCTTATTCAGAGAAAAAGTCAAATGACCATACTAATGTTTATAAGGGTTTAACATAAATCCTTTAATAAAGAAAATTTGAAACTAAAGATACAATGTATTCCTCAGGAAGGAATTTTATAGATGTTAAGACCCTTTGTGTTTTAGGCTAAATTATAAACAGAAACCCTTTAATTTTTATGCTGTCATATTCTCTTTTCCAAAAGGACACAATATTTGCATAGTAATAACCAATTGTTCTACAGAGGCAGTATTTTTTCCTATCCAGTTTCTAGGAGAAAGAAACTATGACTCTTTGTTTTACTGAAATCCTAATGGCAAGTATAATTCAGTTAGGTATGGATATACATGAAACAGCCAGTAAATGGAGTTGATTTTTTGTATGTGATTGTTTTCAGGTTTGTTTTATTAAGAAAATTTTATGGGTAGGGATGTAGCTCAGTGATAGAGCATGTGCTTAACATTAGCAAGACCATGGATTTAATCTTCAGAACTGCAGAAGAAAAGAAAATTTTAGTATATATCACAGTGCCAACATTTCATTGCTTAATGGAGAATTTAAATGATGATTTTGATTAATTCGGCAGTGTAAATATTTTACTTGTTTGTGTTTTCAGAATAAAAAAGAAAGAAAAGAAACACTACTACCTATACTATTTCAATTTTGTGCTTTTTATTTTCCCTTCTACCCTTCCTTCCTTCCTTCCTTCCTTCCTTCCTTCCTTCCTTCCTTCCTTCCTTCCTTCCTTCCTTCCTCCTTCCTCCTT